ATTACAAAATTCGCGATTAATTCTCGTGCGATCTGATATCTTCATTTTTATTCTTGTCTTTACGATTCATGTAATCGTAAAGGTTTCAACTCTTGCCACACTACGGATAATCGATAGCTTATGTGAAGCGTTCGCTAGAGCCGTCAATATTCGAACTTGTCTGAATAGTGTTTCGTAATTTCATAATATCAATATGTCAATATGACAAACAACGCACATAATACGTATAAATAATCGCTATCAATAATTATATTGATAGCAAAAAATTTATGCGAATAACAGTATAATAATAATAATTATTATATTTATAACAGATACTTCAACTAAAACAATATTAATCATATCTTATAATTATCATGACATCTTCATCACTAAATCACGCAATGCCTTCTTGATAATTAAATTTTCTCGTTTGTTTGTTATTAACCCTGCTGTAAACAATTATTTTTTCAACAAATAATTAAATTGAGCTACAATTTCCTAATTTATTAGAGATTTATATAATTTATAATTTCTTAATTTGTTAGAGATTCTTTGGTTTTGGACATGCAATTGTTATCTCTTGTCTCTTATTTAAATCAAGATTCATTTATGTATCTTTTGTTTCAATTTAAAATTGAAAGTATTTCCGTTTTAATATTATTTTCATTTTTGCAAAATATCCGCGAATATTTAAATAGAATATTAGATAGTTTTGTTCACGTTCATCCGCGGAATCGCGTAAATGAAGAAATTAATATACCCAATTACGAACGAATCCGACTGCTCCAGCGCTTATACGCGACACGCTTTTTTTTAAGTTTGACATAGTATATAAGTTAATAGTTAGAGTAACACTGCTCACTAAATATAGAAGTTAATTTAGTTTTTTTTTTAGTATAAACGTTAGTTGTCAGTACATCGAAGGATATGCAGATAGAGAATCGGAGGGCAGTGATAACAATATGTCTAGAGTTCCTTGTTGATAAAGAGCGTTTTCCGAAGAAAAGTTTCTCGAAGAAAAGAGAAAGCGGAAAGAAGAATTTTTTTTAACGATGACACCTTCTCACGAAGGTATAGCACTATCGTCATCGTTGCCGTAGGAGATAATAGTTCAAATTTCGTTTCGCAAGAAATATCACCCTGAAGATCAATCGATTATCAAAGGAAAGCGCGCACATGCGAGATTGAAGAAACTTTCTTTATTTTTTTACACGAGATATCGTTGTTATCGATGTATCGTTAAAACTGCCCACACACGCAAGATTCAGCCACATAAATATGTACAAAATTCACACACCGATTTGCTTATCCATAAATGACCTTTGCGAGGTGGGATGAGACGATTGGGGATTGGGGCTTGAAAGGGGCAGAGGTGAGGGATGAACGACTGCAAGTCTAGCGAAGACGAGAGAGTTGAGATTTATTGTGTCTCGTTTAAGCGTAAAAACGATCCGCGCAAAGTGCGGATCGCGATGATCGAGAGAGCGCGGCGCTTCTCGTCTCAATGGTGGATAGATCCGAGCTTTTGTGCGATTAAAGATTAAAGAAGCTTAATTCGAAGCGTCAGCTTGCAGGATTGCGTGCGTATAGCGCCGCTGAAATCTATCGGTATCGTAATCTCGTTGGAGAGATTAACTTTCTTCGTCGGAAGAAAAAAAAATTAGATCTACTTCAAAGCCTGATTAATAAAGCTCTCAGTAAATTGTAAATCTGTGAATTGAGCTAAAGCGAAACGACACTTGATAGAGAGCCACTCGACAGAGGGATCGAAATCTCGGAAAAAATCGCAATCGGCAAACACCTATCGCTGCTAATGAGTCAGTAATCGATTAATCTCGATTGATCGCGTTAATTGTTCTTCCCTGAGGATTGTTTACTTCGAGATACATGCGTTATCAACTTGTTAGTCATATTTGTTACTTTATCGCAAGGAGAAACGGCGAATAAGCTATGTAGATACAGAGAGAGAGAGAGAGAGAGAAAGAGAGAAGCTACCGATACTAGCAACCGATTTCAAGATTTCGTAGAACAGCGTGATCTAAGGAAGGGCGATTCGCACTCGTAGGAAGAAGTGCAGAAGCTGGATCACGGCTTACAAAATATTCGAGAGCACTTTATAACAATCGGACGTTTTTTCATTTGCCTTCGCTCAATTCGCCGAGGGACAGTCTCGACCAGTGATGGGCAAAGTACTATTTTCCTCAAATATCAGAGGTAGCTCGCTTCATCGACATTGCCTATCGATCTATTGCACTATTCTGCCAATAAAAAAAATCTTGACGATATCATGCGAGAATACTGAGCTTTCCTATTCCTTTCTTATATACGAAAGCACGAAAAAGTGCCTTCAATTTTTCTCGGAATGATTAATTGAAGATTAATATATATGTTTTTGCGGAAATCGGCGAACCTCTCTTGCAAATTAAGACGTTTGGAGATGAGACTTACAGGAACTATAAACCTTCACGTACAACTGAGAACCGCATTCACGTAAAGTAGCTTTTTTACTCCGACATAATATCTCTGTGTAATGCATTAGGCAACAATCGAATGATTATTTATATCCTCCACGAGCAAGCGTGCAGAAAATTGTGAGAAATATTCGGGAGGTGTACGTATATAAATTCGTTTCTCTCTTGGAACATCCCCTAGTATTTTACTCATCCCTGGCGTGAAGGTGCGTTTAAACGACAATTTGCACACACTCTCTTCCATCCCGTTCGCCCATTGAAGATCCGTCCTTCCCGGTGACACTTTTTTTTTCTACGCTTTCCGTAGCTGAAACGGAAGAAAACAGGCGTAAAAAAAAGAAGTAACCGACAAGAACAGGGTCCCCCATGTACGCGGAGAGTTGTCACGAGCGCTCGAGAGTCGGGCGAAGCAACGCTGTCGGGAATCAAATGTGTTTGCCGCTTTAGATTAGCTTAAATGCTACATAAGCCCCGTCTATTATTTATTGCTTCTTTACCTTGCGGCTTGTTATTACTATTAACCATGTTAATTGTCAGCCGTCAGATTAATAGTAATCGATTTTTTACCTCAAAGCAATTACCACACGCAGTAAATTACAGAAAAATAAAAATAAGCGTGAATTTTTCCTAAGGGATTGCTATTATTTGCAGTTCGAATTAGATAAAATTGATTTTTTTTTTAATAAGCTGATAGAGCAGTACTGTTAATCGTGCAAAAAACGAAACTACTTGAAAATCATAAATTACACCACGTCTTAGAAATTTGTATTATCGTTATTAATGTCTCGTTCTCCGTTGAATTATAAATTATTTTCAGATTAATCGTTTTTTTTTTCAGTAGCTGTGTTAAAGATCAACTTTGTTAATAACAATAATAATTACGTCTCACTTTATGCATATAAGAGCAACACATTTCTCTTATAAATCATTTTAAAAAATATTTTACTAATATTACGTATAACCGACTAACTATGTTAATACAACCTAATATGAGGGGATAATAAATTGTCTTTCGATCCTTAACGTATCTGGTTTGATCTTGGCTTCACAGAATAGGTTTTAAAAAATCTTTATTATCGCCAACTACGTCAACGATTAACCTTGTTAATAGTAATACTAAGTTAACAACATACAGCTATATACAGGATGCACCAAGGTACCCGCTGGTATCCTCGTCTATAAATTTCCGTATCAATTTGGAATCAACTTGGATTTTTCTTTAATTAATGAAGATGACGTTACATCGTTATAATGCCTTTCGAAGAATCTATCGAAGAGTTTATAGCCGAGAAGAGACAACGCGCGATACCCCGAGGTCGACCTGTATAAAAACGAGCGTATCGTGAATCTCAATTAGGAGGAGACGATGCAATTTGGTAGAAACGACTCGGTGCACTTGCGACGCTCGACGTCATTATACGACTCGGTCAAACGTTACCTAACTCGTTACCGGCAATACTGCATTCACACACCCTGTATATTTATGTATAAGCATATTTGCGTATATGCTAATATAAATCACCCATTCGTCAAGTTTGTCCTTCCTCTCGGATTACTTACAGATACTTTCCATATGTATAAGAGTCACTTACGTACAATCTCGCGTGAAACGCAATTCGGAGTATACAATATACGTGAATGAGGAATATCGAGCGTGTTCATTACGCATGTAACAATGTGTAAATTGTAATAAACATAAATTTGTATTAAAAATTTTGTGTCTAAAGTACTTATTTTAACTTTGTACATCAAGTAATCTATCGCTTCCAAGATATAATTGTAATTATATTTATTCATGAAAATTGCTATTTCAAACAAACTCTGTAATATCTATTTTCTTTTTGTAAAATTGACTAAAATCATAAATGCAATAAATCTCATCTTTTTCAATAAAATCATTCCATGAAAATATAATATTACAATTCTATATATTTTTATAATAAAGGCATGCAAAATAATTACCAGTGTGTAATATTTTTGATAAATTTATTTGACATTCCTCATTAAATATATTTCACACTCGAATCTCTCGAGAACGGAACTCTTATTATACGTGTCATGTATTCTTCGCTCAAAACAGATTTTAATAAAATCTATTTAATTCGTCAAACAATTTATACACGCATAACATAATCGATAAGTATGTGTGTGTCATATACATATATATTATCTGCTCGCTTTTCTATACAATAATGAATGTATGAATAGGATAGAATACGATCATCAGCGTTTTCGTCCCTAATGTTTCACTTCCAACATCTTATTCTCATAAATAGCACGTCGAGAATAGAATAGAACGCAATTTAAAATTTAGCTATAAAATATTACGTGTGTATGTAAATAATACTTCAAAACACCTTCATAATATATTAGAGAATTAACAAAATTTATTTAGGAATATCACATTTTATAATTTATCAATATTCATGAACATATATATATATCTAATTATACTAAAAATTTTAAATAATATTTCCTTAAAGAATATTAAAATATTCTGTAAAAAAATTGTTATAACTATTATTTCTTCCTTGAAAATTTTTTTTGTTTCAATTCAAATCTGCACAATTAGATCTATATTCTTTGTTAAACTGAAAAAATAAGTTTCATTATTTTAATAAATAAAAAATAAAAGATAAATATTGTAAAAAAAAATACACTTTCTTTTTCTACATATTACAATATTAATTCTTCGGACCTATATACAACATCCATAAAATCTTATAATGTGAAACATTTATATGCACAATTCTTTTATAATTTCTTAATATATTGTTCCTTATTTAAAAGATCAATACAAATCACTCTCGAACAATTTTATTATCTAACTTTTAACAAATAGATAATTTAACTCTATAAAATAGCGGATAAATAGAGATTACTACATAAATTCAAAATTAATATATTTCTCGACATGCTTGAGAACGATTCAACGTCGCGCTCGCCGAGAGGATGTTGGAAATAAAATTCGTAAAACAATAAAAATAGCCTGCCTACGTTGGTGCAAGTTGCTTCCTAAGATTCGTCCGAATCAGTCACTGCTAATATCACCTTCAACGCGTTTCCTTTCTTTTTAATTAATTCCTACGATTAATTCCACGATCTTCGCGTCCGTTTCTTCTCTTTGTTCCTCGTGGGGAAATCGTTCTAGACCGATTTGCTGTTAAATATTAATTGTGGCAGAGAATCGAGCAGCGTCAACAAACGTTACTCGGAAAACGTTACTTGAACAAATTCATGACAAATGAGAAGGAAGAAATTAAGAGTTCTTTCGGAATGTTTGCAATCGCTGCTCGATTCCTGTCACGCGTCTAAATTTCGTCTCGAGATTTCGCGTCGAGGAAACAAGAGGATCGGCGCTAGATCGTCGATCGGTACCTCGCGACTCGTTGGCTCTCACTGCGAGAGCGAGCAGCTCGACGGACCTCCCTAAGTGCGATCGATTTCATCTCAATTCGCATTAGAATTAAAGAGAAGTTTCGTATATTTCCATTGCATAGTCCCGATCGTGTCGTGTTTTCCTCGAAGGGTAAACACGTTCTTTCTCCCTAGATATACGACCCGTCGATCCCGACCTTAAAGTCCTTAGAAAACATATTTTATCAAGGATACTCGATCGCTGATCGCGGGTCTCTCGTGCGTTTCGATCATTCTCGCACGGAGAAGAGAGGATTGTTAAAATGCGATCTTTCGTTACACCGGTTTTCCTGTAAGCTACTATATATCACGAGGGTTTTCCAAACGTGCCCTTCCTCACTCGTGACCGAGAGATCGGTTTTCGCGCGCCCAACTCCGTTGATCGGATTTCACGAGGCGCGAAATCGCCTCGTGAAAATCGTCCGTTGCGACTCGAGCAAGATTCTCTCGGCGGAAATACTATCACCTTTCGCGTCGTATCAGTCGAGACAGATCTTCGGTAATCTCGGAGCCCGCATTAGACCCGTTAAATATTTAGCGGGCGAGAATCCTCGCCGAGAATACCCCGATCAGCTTTGGACATTTTCTTCGCACACCCTCCTGTACCTCTCCCGATCCCTCGATCCTTTCCAGCGACGAGAGACGACGTGCACGTTTCTTGGCCACGTCCCCGGGCCGTATCCCCTGTACACAAATCTCACGCACAAGGCGCAACGTCCTGCCCGGTATGTGGAGACGAGCCCCTTTACACGTACCACTCTTTAATGTCTATCAGTTCTCGCTTCTTGTTACTTTTGCTGCCGTTGGCGCCGTTCTTCAGGGCGCCGTTGAACGGCTGGCCGGAGCCCGCGGCGCCGAGCAGGGCCGCGTTCGGATCCTGGCAGAACGTCTTGGTCTCGTCCACCTTGTAACTCGTCTCCGGCCGATTCTTAAACTTGAGGATTATCAGTATGATCAGGACTATCGCTATCAGCGCGGCGGCTATGATGCCAATTATAAGCGCGGCGTTCTCGGCCGCCTCGGACGTGATCCGCTTATTGTTGTTGTTGTTCTTGGGCGGAGTGGGCATCGGCGGGTATACTGGCGGAGGAGGCGGCGGCGGCGGCTCCGTCATCTCCGTCGTGATCGTCTGCGTCGTCACGGTTGTCGATCGATGCGTCACGACGCTGCTGCAAAAGCGTAAGCGGCGATCGTTTAATTTCAATCGTCGTTCGAAAACTAATCGTTCACGGGTGAACCACAATTTTCGCGAATTCCGCGACTTTCTATCGTGAATGATTGCGACATATATATGATTGTCAGCAACACTTTTCTCTCTTATTCAGACGCGCAATAGAAATCTGAATTTTTGCAAGTAAATTATTCTATTAAATTAAATCGCGCTGCGGACTGAAAATTCGATAAAATTTAACAGCTTTGCATTTTTAAACTTGAAACGCGTATCGATTCACATATATTTTTAAGGGGCAAATTGATCCTGTTAATTGAGCTGTGCCTCGTTAACGTCTACAATATTGAAAGACCAATATTTTCCAATATTCGATGCAAGGGGAGAGCTTTTAAAGGATTCTATGAATTTTATAAATGTACATGCCGTTAATTGATCAGAGAATAATTTAAATCGCGTGTGTTCTTAACGTGATTCCGCACTGAAAAAAAAGGTCTGGTAATACCTACGAAATATTGTATTTTGCAATAGAAAACGAGCATTACGACGAGTCTGCGGACGCGAAAAACGTACAGTACAGTAGCATCTCCCGTAACGACTGATCGATGTGCCTGAACGATATTGCGAATGATTATCCGACGTCATTCGCCGACAGACGCACGCACCTGCTATGGCTGGTCTCGAGGTCTGTGGTTGACACATTGTATTGGACGGAGACGGTGACGACGTCGCGGCCCAACGTTGTCGACGACGCCGACGTCGTCTGGGTGCTGATGTGGCTCGTCGAGTACTCGCGGGGCGTCGTGTACGTCACCGAGCTGATATCTGTGACAGAAAGCAAGAGGGTGAAAAAAAAATGTGCGTCAGGGGGCCGCTTCGCCTCGTTCCATCCGGCGCGGAGGGGATGGTATACGGGGAAGGTAGGTGGAGGAGGAGGAGGTGGAGGTATAGCAGGGAGTAGGGCACGGAAGCGAAAGGGATGCGAAACGTGCGGAGGCGGCAATATTTACGCGTGCGTAGGCCGGCAAATATTCACGCGTGCGTAAGCAGGAACGATCCCGAGAACATCAAGAATGTATTGCATAATACATATGTATTTTCGAGAGAGAGAGAGAGAGAGAGAGAGAG